ATTCATGCCCAGATCACTTTTGTTAAGAGAATTTTGAAGACCCACGCTTTTTACTGCCACGGCTATCAGACTTCTTCTCCCCCGAGGGCATAACAGAAAACACTTATCAACAACGTATTGCACGTGTCCAGTCGTCATTTGCCATGCAGCGCTTTATTCGCTGTTGCCGCTCCGGGCTTGAGGAAAACACGTGAAACTCAACAGACGATATGGAGATAAAGTATGATAAAGTGCACAATGTCTCTCATCTTCCAGGATGCGGCCCGAAAGGCTTACTTACTATGTAGGCATTGCGCGTTTGGCAGCGATCACTGAAGTTCGCTTCGCGGTATTTTGCTTCACGATAAACAAGAAGATCCGCTGTGCATTGTTCTAACTTATTGTCGATCCCATCTGTCCGTAAGATCACAATTCTACCATACCACTGCAGACACACGTAAATGTGTACAAAGATGTGATAGATCCATATTTTGCAAGAACTTCGACCAAGAGATCGCATGCGGAAAATGATTTTCTCGATGCCTTCATAATGTATTTGTTATCAGGCATTGAAATGACTACTGTGTGCTACTTACGGCGGAAATGCGGGAATATGCTTCATGAAGGAACGGAGGGATGGCGAACTTGGCAAGGTTCGACCATATGTATATCGCTTGACGCCTCTGACGACTTGCCATTCAGTTGAGTGTGAGTCGTGTCTCATCTCAGGTCTCAACTCGGTACTCGACTCCGAAAGGATCGCCCTTCGTTAAGATTTCTCGTCCAGATAGGAACATCATGAGTAGTGAAATAGAACACAACCGGAAGAGTGTAGGAATTCGCTTATTATGCAAAAATTATGGTTATTTATGAGAAACAGTGAGGATAGAGGAATCAAACGATTGGTTGATTTGATTGGTGTCAACCGTCTTGAATAGTTGGATTTCTTGGCCAATCGCCTGGGTTCACCTAACCTGGTTCTAATTGGTTGTCCAAGAACAAAGCAGTTTTCAGGGAGGCACGCTGGCTCCCGGACAGACTGAACCATTTGAATCATGGTATTTGTATTTTCCCACTATTGCAGATTGCCAGTAAACTCTCTCTCTCTTTCTCTACGGAGAATAACCTCCTGATAGTCGATAATTCCACTGATCATTTCGAGACTCGGTCCACATTCGAATTCCTCACTCATCCGTACATGCGGAGACATCCCGTCGCACCCTCAAGCCCAAGCATATTGCAATACATATACTACTTACTATGAAATATTCTATAAAGACGCTCAAGTCACGTTGGTTGCGCGATTAGTAGCATCTAAACCATCTACAAAACATATAATCATAGTATTGATTCTTCAATGGACTGGTTCTGAAAGAGCTGTCTACCCAAAATTACTCGGTATTGCAAATGAAGTTATCCTGACGAAAATACACTTCTTAGGTATAAGTATATTAAGGAACTGACAAAAGATCACCGGATACGCATGCCTGACGAGCGGCAAGAGACGCGAAACCGGTTGCGTGCTTCCAGGGAAATTGTGTCTAGTCATTCATATACCACTTATTATGAAAGATATATATATATATAAAGAAGCTAAACTCATAGAATCCGAATGCAGTCGAACACCGACCGAACTGTAATTCAGAAACGCCGAATAGACATTTAAAATGAAAATACACATTTGTAATTTCAAGGCAAATAATAAAGAATGCTGAAAAGCTCGAGAATTAGTCCCTCAGAAAACCTGCATCAACAGGAATAAAAAACACGCCTCACAGAGTATAGAGAAGCGTCAGTCCAAGTGAATAGTTTACACTATTCCCCGACAGGTTTTTCTGTGAAAAATTTGGATCATCCGAGTAAATGGCGCTCTGGAGAGAATGTGGAATTTCTTGCCGCAAGGCTAAATCTGGGATGAACGGTTCAAACGGTGAACCCCAGTACCCGGAAGAACAGAAACATGGAGCATATTGACACGAAATTCGTCAAAAAAACAGCACGCATCTGACGATCAACAATTGATTTATAAATACAAGACGCAACCTCATGTTTCTTTTTACAGGCTTTGTCAAAACCCAGAAAAAAATATTGATTCTATCAATGTAGAGTTTTAAGTGACCACTTGAAGTAATTGAGGAATCAATTCCGTCAGTTGTGGAAAACGGGACACGAACGATGATGATATCCTTTATCTGAGTGGGACACTCCTGTTAGGTTAAGTTTTGATGCCGTCCAACGGTATGACGAATAGCAATCGTGAGTGCGATTTGGGTATCGCTCTTAAACACTACTTACCCCTTCCATGAGCTTGGTTCGGTTGATACGCTGATCAGTTAGACTCAATTTGTCCATTTCTGCGTGTACTAGGTCCGGATCGAGAGCGAATTTCTCGTTCAACTCCATCAGATCATGCTCCTTCAATCGTAATTGGGCCTCCAAATTGGCTTTCTCTGCGACCAGTTGTCCGGTCTGTCGACGATGCGGTGCTCGAGAGGCCATAAGCTGACCGCTCTGACGAGCTAAACGACACACTTCTTCTTCCGCCTGAGAATCGGGGATTTCGAAAAAAAGATGACAATGAAAACGGATGACATCTGGCATGGCGATTCGTGAGCAAAGAAACAATGATGATTGGCTTACACCCGAATCACAAAAAATGACTCCCCATTTTACCCATTTTATACATTCCCTGTTGTATTTCGGCTCGATATTTCATGTATTCCACCATACTCTGCTCAGAGCTTGCTTCGTGGGCATACAAGAAGAATCATCCAATAGCATCCAACAGCGACTAATCGTACCTTGGAAAACTAAAAAACGAGTGATACAGTTTTAAGCACGTCTGAAACTGTGAAATCGGACAAGGTCGAGTGCTAAACATTAGATGTGAAAAAGCAAGCAGCTGTTTCTAACAGTTCCTCTCTTTTTATAATCTATACTTTCAGTCACCAATGAAGGAAACTGAACTGAAAAAGATCTCAAGTTTTTTCTATGTAAAAATGACAAAACTAAGACCTGTTTTATTTTGACGCAGTTGTGCCCTTGTGCCTAAAATTATAAACTACATCTCAGACAGGATCGAATAATGTACAGAGTTGACACATAATTGTAAACGGCCATCGGATGAATCTCTGGGGAAAAAACGATCCGATTGGCCTGCAAGAGTTGCTTTGCACATGACAAACAGTACCTCACAAACGGATATATCCATGAATATGCACATAGGAGATACGGTAAAACAACACAAGACCTGAAAACACCAGGAGCGAGTGAAGTGTGATTGGAACGGATCAATACATCAATAGATGTTCGGAAGCAAATGTCTTACATAACCTGTATCTTTGGATTAGTGCGTACTAACGTGCGCATGTGGGCAAGAGAGATCGACCGGGGAGAGAACTTTTCTCCGAAGTCGATCGGGCCCGTATTACACAGCACTGTGTGCACGGAGACACGGGTAAAACATTGTTGAGTAGAATGGACAAGCTGTGGATACTGGTGAACGTAGATACAAGTCGAGTACAAACAGGTGATACGTTCAGTATAGTTCCGCTTTTACAACCATTAACCATGCAGTTTCGTGCGCCCGTTTGAGTTCCTGTCTTTTGGTACTCCATTTGGATAAAAAAGCAGGATAAAGATTGGAATGTTAAAGGCAAATTCAAGAGGAAGATAGATAATTCATACAGAGTGGTGTTAGGAGAATAATGAGTGGATGCACGAGCGCCACTGTTTGCGACACCCAGCCATATTATTATTCAGTCTCTAACCATCGGTGAACATCATCTCGGGGTCCCCAGCCAGGGAGCCTATGTGACCAAGTCTCCTGATTAGGGATGTCATACCCTCATGCCACCTTTTCGTTTGACCACCCTTGACCATTTTCCAACCGCTACCAGCCTTGGCAAACATCGCTCGCCGTGGCAACCTCTCTGGTGACATGCGTAACACATGTCCCAACCAGTGTGATCTATGAAGGTCGATCACTTCCTCCGGTGGATGACCGCGACTGCCTAAAACTTTACACCTAACCTCAGCATTGCTCGTCCGGTTACCCCACCAGGCACGTGCAATGCTACGTAGACAGCGGTGTTCGAACACCGACAATCTATTTTTATCCTGTTCCCGTGGTGAACAAGTCAGCACCGTAGAGCCGCACGGGCCGAACTGCTGCAGCATACACTCGACCATTCACAGAAAGCCGGATGTCGCGACGGCGCCACAGATGTCTCAAGTTAGCAAATGCTAGCCGAGCCTTTTGTATGCACGCCGACACTTCATCTATGTGTGTCCACCGGGTGAGATGTAGCTGCCCAAATAGCAAAACTTATCCACCTGCCCTATTAATTCCCCAGTTAGAGTGAGGCTGGGTGCTGGACCAACCCAGTCTTCGAGTAAAATCTTACACTAGATCTTCGTTTAGCAGCACAACGCTGTCTGCATACTCTAGATCAGACAGCCTGCCACCTGGGAGTAGATCGATGCCACTATCCTCGCACGAGGATAGGGCTGTTTCCATAATAAAATCTATAACAAAGTTAAATACAAAAGGAGAGAGGGAGAGAGCAACCCTGTCGAACACCACTTTCCGTGATGAACTCGAGCGAAAAGGTGTCGTAAGCTCGGACTCGGTTTCGGCTATTAGTATAAAGGGAGTGTAATACTAATAGGTGATATGAAACACAGGAGGATCAGACGGGTGGGCATTCAATGTGAATAACTTACTGCGTCTAGGGCTGCATTGACTTGAACCATTTCTCGACCCAGACTGCGTATCGTTTTGTGATTTGCCGCAACGCACTCTTTGAGACGACCAATAAGTTGAAGGTCCGCTGCGCGATCTATACGAATGAAAATGGCGATGACGGACGGATGGGTGGGTGGAGAAGAACATTTAAGGAACTCCATTTCTGCGATCGAATCAAACGAAAAACTAACATGTGACGACGCATGCGATGAACTAACAAGGTCGGATTCGTGCACAGAATGACGGATCCACCAAGCAAGTCGGTATAGAAAGGTTTGTGGAGTAAAAATATTGATGTTCATGCATCTGTGTTGTGTAGCAAGCCCGTCCCACCGACCGTAATATAATCAAATTTGTATTTGCAAGACTTGTGTAAGCCTGTTCATTCAGTTAAATAATGTGCACTGGTCGTCGTACGGAATAAATCTCGTATAACATACAACGTGAAGTTTGTCTGTTTTGTATGCCCAAAACATGACGTAATTCACTTGCGACCTGTTCCTTATTGGTTGAGAGTCGGACAAACTACCCATGGCACAGGGGAATTCCTTTAAATGTGAATACAAGAGCAGATGGAGAAAAGAGAAGCTTGTGTACATATGAGAATGACCAGAAGAGAGACGAACAATGAAGAGAATCGTCCAGAATCGTGGCGGAAAATTTGGGATGCAAGGGAAATGGACAGGCTCGTGTGTCAATTGTGTTTTCTGTGTTCAGTAACACTCATTAGAAAAACCAATCAGGTAACACAGCGATTTTCTTACTCAAATCACATCTGAACAGGAGTTGAATTAAACACTGAAGAAGTTGCGAACAACGAAGAAAAACACAGCATAGTTATCGTACTGTACGGTTCCGATACACTCATTCACAATTGTGAACATCAGACACTTGACCGGCTGACTCAGATCAAGAGGATGTCATTTTATAGCTTTCCTTTCTTAGTGAATGCTACAACTGGCTTCGTGATTGGGGGGGGGGGTCTGTCCCCTGTACTGAGCATTGTTCTATACTGTTCTAATAGAAGACGTTTCGAGTGTGCATATATCAGATGAAAAGCCAGAAAGTTTGTTTGAACTATTGTGTTCCCAGGCAAACACACGTGTTTTCGCACAAGAAGTCTGAGCCCGAAAATGTCTGCGGTAAAAAAAGCTCATCCCTGACTAGTAGCACCGGATAAAATCGCTCAACCGTGGGACTCAGAAGCACTTGCGTTCACGCGGAATCATCCAAGAGGCATGATTTGTGTAAAATGCCTAATGATGCTTCTTACAACTCACTTATACACCGCTTTTTCTGTTGTGTTTTACATGCATGATACTATACACCGTGAATTGGTGAATTCTGTTGGCCTGTGCTTCCGGAGGACGTGGTGGAACAGACAAACGATGGTATGTTTAAGCTATGCAGGAGTACTGGTCTGGTGTCAACACCTAATCAGCCCAATGGAAGGACCATAAAGAGATGGGGCTAATACGGAACTCCCACTGCCCTTAACACTTGTAGACTTGAATACAAACAATTATCGAAGCACATCGAACTATTGTCAACTTAATTTGATTACGTAATTAGTCAAAAGAAGGAGAAACCCCCACGGTTACAAGAATCCACTCGCCGATCACGGAAACTAATAACCTAAACTATGGGGCTTGGAATAGGATAGGTATGGTATTGAAACGGATGACAAAGCTGTCGAAATCGTTCTTTATTTGATTGAAGGAATTTTGACTTTAGCTGTATTATCAAAACTCCACAGAGACAGATTTTTTAAGCGATTAAGGCAGCCCTTGGCGTCGACAGTGAAGCTAACCAAAGTGACAGGGTTCGAACCTAGGACCCTGAGGGCCAAAAACCACCAGTGCCAGCTCCTCAAACCGCTTGAGCATCAATACCGATAGAAGTGAATGTGGATAAACAAAAACTCGCACGGATAGCTTTCTATTCACTTTAGCAAGCGCTCCGAGGAAAGATTCTCTGAGATGAAGTGATTACATAAAGACAGAGACAGTTTATTTGCTAATGAACCAGGCTGGACTCGAACAAACACCCATGACAAATTCAAACCAACAATCTGGGTAACATGCATTAGGGTGATAGGAATGAGTCAAAATGTACACAATCCCAAATTACGCATAGCAAAAAACAAACGATTCCGCCAGAACAAAGCATGTCAAACATTCCAAACAGAATACGAATGCACATGCTAAGATCGATTCAAAGATAAACACGTACAATCAGACAAGGGGGACGGGCGATGTTTCACCCAACAGATGTCCAACATCGGAGAACGGACTGCAGAAATCCATATGGCATGACAGAGCTTGATGAGAGCTCATTCCTTGTAGATGAAAGCTGTTCAATGTGAAATGCGGACTGACAAGCCGAGGTGTAAAGAGGCAAATCGATCAAGTACAACGATCTCTTTCCAACCACCATTGAAATCAGCCATAACTAACTACAGCAGCAGAACCGACCATAGCCGATGATTTACTGAAAACAAAAAAAACGAGTGGCAATCACGGTCTGTTTTGTTTCTCACACCCAGGAACAAATTTCGAAGGACCGATTTGATTTCAGCGTGGCACACAAACAGGACAAATTCGGCTGGGAAAAGCGCGATTACGAATAAAATTCAGATAGCAGACCTTCATGCATTATCGGGACTTGAACCGAGACAACTGGCGAGCGGAGCAAACGACCGGATCGGAATAACTTACCCCAAGTTTGTCCTACAATTCAACGAGTGATCAAACTGTGAAAAACAACCGACTCAATACAATATTAAACGAGATGTTCTCAGGTGGAAGGCTAAAGGATGGGTCCGATCACACAGCACAAGTGAGGCAGTTTCAAGATGACACAAAATTCTCGTGGGCAGATGATTGAAACAATCCAATAATAATGCATTCGGAAAGGACGACCTGGGAACAATCAAACTTAGTGGCATTTTTACGGTTAAAGTGAATGAGGAACAAATTCTAATTTTATACCATACAAATAAGGCACCGGAGTATTTCAGGAGAAAAATTAATAAATACAACAGGCATATGCTTTAAACGACCTGTTATTCCGAATCCAGATGTCCGAGTTATCAAGTGGTCAAACCATCGAACGATTAATGATTTC